TTATACATATATTTGTGTGTATGCGTATGTACCGGTATTATTAGAAGCGTATATTATAATGGAAATAAATGGGTACCTGGCGGGGTTACCATGCTATTGCGCTTAAGCATGTGAACACAATGACCAGGGAAAACAAAGCTCTTCGCAACCTAAAGGAATAGGTGCTATATAATTACTAAAATAACTATAACAATTGATTGATTGATTGATTGATTGATTAATTTTTTCAACCTTCTTCAAAGAGGGTAACCCTTCCAGTTTAGCTCAGTAGGTTAACTGATATTCAGGGGCCCTCTTTAATAAAATTACAGTACAGTACATATAACATCATTACAGCATAATATAAATAAACAATAACGTAGAATCCTCATAACATAGTCTTAAAAGTATAACAACATTAAATAAAATAACATAATAACATAATTCAAGATAGTAAGTCTAATTTATAAAGCCTAATGTAATACAATATAATATAGTATAACATAAAATCAAACTATATAATAATAAGAATATTAATTGATTGATTGATTGATTGATTGATTGATTGAATTTTTTCGATGCTCAACATGCACAAACAATATGAAAATGATTTGAGAACAAAAAAAGTAAAAATTAATGAGCATCAGGAACGCCATTAGGCCGGAGTCGAGCCCATTTCCAATGGGATCCAATCTTGCACATTATAAAAATACATATAAAATCATTGATAATAAAAATTTTAAAATTGACATAAAAATATGATATACAAATAATCTAAAATACAGATATTGAATTGCACATACTTCAAATTCTAAAAAGTTTTTAGAAGTTACCGGTACATCAAGGACGATTAAAAATGTACATAATTAAAAATGATAAAAATAGAATAATTGCAATTAAGTACCTTTCTGTTCAAAATATTTTGTAAATGTGTGACTTGAATGTAATATTGTTTGTGATTAATTTTAATTTGGTTGGAAGAGCATTCCAGTCTTTAATTGCAGAGTAGAAGAATGTAGAATGAGACTGTTTATTTTCTTTTAGTAGAGTAAGTTCAAGTAAGTTCTTATAAAAGGCTTAAAAGTTTACAATGTTTGGGTTCTCACCATCGCAAAGATTAATTTTAAAATGAATTAATTCACGTGCTCTACATAATCAAAGTCACGTAGACTTGATTTGGGTCGGGAGAAAAATTAAATCTGTCGCTTGACAGCATATGAGCCCATAGGTCTTCCTCCATTTTAAAGACCACTTTAGAGGCTTTGGGCTTAGATAACTTATCATTATAGAGATATAGGCGCTTAATCGGGGCTCCAGAATGGTCTTTCATTGTAGGGGTCTTTACTTAGAGGGAGGCCTGTATCTTAACATCACACTCTAGTTAGCTATAGAAAGTTATCAAAATGGAAATAAGATTTATTGGTAAAAGTGCACGGTCTTTATCAATCAACCAACCAACCAATCAATCAATCAATCAATCAATCAATCAATCAATCAATCAATGGATTTATAAGAAAATAATGCATCGTCGACATTGGCAACTGGATCTTTATACTCGTTCCCAAAGGGAACATGTGTTGATAGAGAATTAAAATCAAAGCCAAATTTATAATTATTTATTTGTTAAATTTCAGGCCTAGTACTTTCTATCTTCTATTTTTATATTTATTTTCTGTTCTTGTATACTAATAATAGTTGTATACCGCATTGTATATTTCTGTTGGATGCTACTAATAATAGGCCTACTAGATAGTCTAATATGACTTTCAATGTTTATATTCCAAGGTAGACTTAATGTGAAAGGAGAATACTTTGTATTGAAATTGATTACCGGGAATGGGGCTTACAAATGTTTTCTTGTCTTCTAGTAGTTTTACTGTTTGAATTGGTCTTATTTTTTATTTTGTCTTTGCTCTTAGCTTTTATCCAAATTTATAAAACAAAATAAAATTATCTTCTATCAAAAGTTTTATAAATAATAGGCCTATTCTAATATTTTTCCACCTGGAGCGATATTATGACCAATGGTTACCACGTCTAAGAGGATACAAATTGTCGTGAAAGCATAGATATTATGAAGCAACTAACGATAATTAATCTGCCAATGATATCCTGGTACCACATATTTTTTTCTTGTTATATTTGTTGATAACAATAATTGATAACCAATTCTCAACCAACAACAGTCATTTTCAGAACTATTTACGTGCCGCAAGCATTAATATATAATAATCGTTCTTTTATCACTACATTGTTTTCGCTTAGTCAAACATGTAAAACAAATTCCATAGGAACGTGCAGTGAATTTTCAAAACGCGCCAGGAAAACGTGAGACGCCATTGGAATCACGTGACTGACATTGTGAGGATTACCCCTGGGAAATGATTCGGCTGGATGTACTTGGGTGATATATGGCATCTCGTGTTGTTAATCCCCGATGAGGAGGAAGGGTCAATATTGCATTGTTATGAAGGACTAATCAGCTAATGACTTATAGCCTGAGCCGTGTAAAACCCTCTATTCAAGTTAATTACGAATTATTACCCTGGTGGACTTTCCGGACTTTCAATCAGTTGGTGAAATACTAAGCATATACTCAAATATTTTACACACAAGATGTAAATAAAGTCGTAGGTATTGATGTGATGTGTAAAATTCATAATTCATCAAATTTGGATATGTAACGACGTAGGCCTCTATTGGAACTACTTCTGAAGCTAGAATACAGGGCTAGATAGAAGCTGAAAGAATAAGGAGAATTGCCGAGATCTGCAAATTACGGCGAAATATATACCGGTACTAATGCTGACGAATTGATGATGACAGATTTGAAGTTTGAAACTGCAAGGGGGCGCCTTTCATACATAACAGAGAATTGGGAGTCGCAGATAATATCGTATTATGTTAATTAAAGATATACTAGGCCTAGTCTGCATTGCCACTAAATAAAAAGACTTAAATCGTATTCAATAGTTAGATTGCTTCGTTTTATATTATATTATATTTGGCTTTAAATTAGAAATTAGAACAATAACATTATCTTGCTCAAAAACTGAAAATGGAATGTTTTCAGGCGTCTTCTTTTTCTGCTGTATATTTTCCCAATAATAAACTAAATATGAGCGCTACACAAATCTTATTTATTATCATTATCATTATTATTATTATTATTATTATTATTATTATTATTATTATTATTATTATTTATCATTAATTATTATTAGTATTATTATCCTTTCTTAAAATACTGCCTTTTAATTAATTTACTAACATATCACTTTGCAATATTAAGTTTAAATCAGTGAAACCAACTAAATTCTGATCTACAGTAGCTATGTCTTATTGGAACTACTTCTGAAGCTAATATCACTTTGCAATATAAAGTTTAAATCAGTGAAACCAACTAAATTCTGATCTACAGTAGCTGTTCTTATTGGAAGTAGATACAGTAACTAATTTGATCCTTTAATGATTAATTCAATGATTTAATTGAATTGATGAGGTTTTTCCGATTTTACTACAGAACTTAAACCTAAAAAATTCTCTTCCTTCTGCCTTCACAACTCTGTTCATGAAAAGTAGGCTACATTCTCGTCCTAAATTATACGGATCACTTGTACTTTATTGATTATACCTCCGAATTGCAGTATTAATCCTAACATGAATAATAATTATGGTTATTATGGACAATAAATGACGAACGCGTTCGTTTTAGAAACCATAAATGGAAAGAAATAAAATTATATCAAAGCGGTTCCGCCGTATTAATATCAGACGATTAAGAAAATTGGGTACGCGACAGATAGCAGATGATAGGATAAGAAATGACGGAAGTATTTATCGTCAATAAGCAGGCCTAGGTTAACATTCACTTCCATGATACTGCACTTAACATATGGGTGGTACGTTGTACGTTTGTGCTCTCTTAATTAAAAGTAAAGAAAGCAAACAAATATCAATTTTATTATCAATATCATTATCATATCATCATTATAAAAGCAGACGTGATCGATATTTTGGCACAATATTATAATTATTGTGTGTGGTACAACAAGTTGGAGGCTTATTTAGGAATGCATTGGGCCGCACCGGTGTTATTTTCTTTCATTTTTTGCCATTATCATTATCAAGGCATTAAGGCATAATTGCTTAATAAATGCCCGAGACTAATCAATATACCAGAAACAAGAGAAAACTCATCACAGACATAAGCATTGATTTTTTTTGTCGAGCGTTAAACTATAGAGGGCGTCCCACAAGAAAACAATACACCAAAACAATAAGACAATATGGCACCGTACACGAAATTTATGCTGCTGTCAGTGTTGTTGATTTATCAAGTTTTAGCTACTCGGTCGGGAAATGTTCCACAGTCTTTGTACGATTCTAATGATTTAATTGTACAGCTAGATAATGAAACTATTTCGAAGACATTGTTCAATTCAGGAAACTCATGGATAGTTGAGTTTTACTCCAGTTGGTGCGGCCACTGCATCCGCTTTGCGCCGACGTGGAAACAGCTGGCCAAGGACTTGAAAGGTTTGTCATCATTCGGGAGCCTCAAGGGTTTTTTAAGTTTGAGAAATAATAGGCCTAGGGCCTAGAGGCTTAGGCCTAGGCCTAGACTATGTTTTTCCAAGGAGGTATTTATTTTATACCGCCTTGGTTTTTCAAATAATGCCATAAAATAAATAATCAAGTTAAACTTCCCGTACTTACTAGGCCCTACATGCTATATAGTGACCTAAACTACGTGGAGTAATTATAGGGCTAGGCCTGGACTATAGGGTAGGCCTAGGGTAGGTCTAGTACTACTACTACTACTCTATTCTAGGCCTACTACTAGGGGCCTAATACTAAACTAGGCCTAGCAGAGGGATCAGGGGAAATCCCCCTTCCTCATTCATTGAACAAACATGGATCCCTAATCCTAATTGTTAATTCCAATCCCTAGTATTTTGGTTTAAAAGCCTAAAAATCATAAAAACATCTCTCCCACCAGGGATTTTTTACAGTACTGTATTCTTCTTATCATAGGCAGCCCCATAAGTATGGACTCCCTACCTTGGACCGCCTGTCGGCATATTTCATCGGCGCAGATCATCATGGGGAAAGGACAGGGAGACACGTCTCCCACATATTTTTAAGGGTGTTGGTCCCCACAATTTTCGTCCACAAAGTAATTTCAAAAGTCAAGAAGATGCCGGACAATTGTTGAATTGAACTGCATAAATGACCCAGTTCAAAAGAACACTGTACAGCCAGAATACATCTTGTTTGCCCACAAACATCTGAATTACCTATAATGAGCGCATGCCTTTAGGGCACATAGAAAAAATTATTAGATTATCACTCTTTTTTTTTTAAATAATTGATGAGTTTTTTTGAGTGTGTTTTTTTTGCATATGAAGGGGGTAGAGTAAAGTAAATACTGTACATCAAAGACATCACAGCGAATAATTGTTCGATGATAGTGAATTTTACTATAAGAGTGTCATTTTCGGCACTGTACCTCTAAATGTTTTTTGAAGTAGGTAAAGTAAACACACCAAAGACAATGTTTTTAAGTTTTTTGCTATGGTACATGGTTCTATGTTATCTTTTAGAGGGAGAGAAGCATAAAATGGTTTTAGAATCATGAGGGATGCTAACTATAATATTACTATCTCCATGGTTTAGTGCTTACCGCCAAGTATAGCCTTGCATTGCATCAGCGCTGTGACCCTTCAGCCATGTGCCACAGAATTTGTAGTAGAGTAAAAATTGAGATTTAAAAACGTAACAACCTGCGTGTACTGTACTCAAAAATAGATTTTGGTAGTTCAGTATGTGTTAGTACATACTAATAAGTGACTTATAAATTGTTACAACCATTTCCTCAACATTCCATTTTATTAATGCCCATGGTTAAGTTTTTAGGTCATCACTCATTACAAATACAATATTGAAGACTGTAAAATTGGTATTTTCAATATGGGCAAATAAAATTAATTGTTATTTTGAAATTATTTTTTGGTGAGGATATTTACTATTTGCTTTTTACTATCCTATATACTGATGGTAAACAGGCTGGTGAATAGTAAAAATAGTTGGGGCAGGGACGTGAAACCAGCAATTAAAGCCCCATTCCCGGAAAAATTTCAGTTGTTAAGAAAAATCTAACTTTTGTATAATGTTTTAAAGATTTATAAAAATAATACGCAATTGCTAGTTTAACTGAATTCAGACATTCCTTAACATGAAAAAAATGTAAAATAAGACTGAAATTTGATTTTTTTTGTGTTCCACACAAAAAATAAATGCAGATGAATTTTTCATGTTTGATTTTGCAATAGGTCGTGCGAAGAAATATATTAGGCTCCGAAAACATTGTCATTAGCCTATCCAACACTGCTAGGAAGGCTAGGCCTAGCCTTACCTCGACTTAGGTTCTGTTGTCACACATAAAAACGGCCGATATGATATTTTCCGTTGCTAGTATTGACACTTGTGAAATATAATATTTCATAGGAATTATTTCAAATTTGATAAAAAAACTGATTCTGACCGAGATTTTGACACTTAAACAAACATATCTCAGGCCTACTCGAACGACCGCATAGTGCGAGATGCTAAGTACAAAAACTAATCCCATTAGAGAGGGCGCACTTTATTGACTGTATAAAGTACACATAAAAGCGAGAGTATTCCAGCGGATGCGGTCTACAACCTACGAATTTGCCTAGTATTATAACGAAGAATTCGTTGAGAAAATGGTAATATTCTCTATGAGAAATGGTCTGTATTGCTCATTTTCTTTTGCGTAAAACTAAAATTTATGCCAATATTTTTCCATGATTTATAATAATTGGAGTAATGCATGCATCTTTTCTAAAAAAAAATCTGTTTTTAGTTAAATTTGGGTCATAATACTCTACATGTAGTAAAATATTGTTTTATGTTTAAAGTTTAAATAGGGGAATTTTATTAATTGCCTTTTAATTATTTTTATTGTGTAGTTAATTTAAGATTGCCGGCTGGTCAGTTTACATTTCATTATTTTTTTAATCAACAAAAAAGAATATATATTATTAATTTTATCTGATTTTAATAATTATTTAGAAATGAATTGTCATAATAATAACAGAAAAAAAAATTGTTTCTAATTGTTTTATTGTCCTTTCATTATAACCTGTTCTGTATTTCAAACTTAGAAAGTGCAGGATCTCAATAATAATGATTATTTTATCACTATAAGTTTTCAGTAATGGGTATCACGTGACCTTACTTGGGTGTTGGATGTAAATAATGGAGGTTGCTATGCCGGCTGTACCTTGTTATTGCTGTAAAGATCATCATAATTACTGTTTTTGTTCTTTAGAACATGATTTAAGTTACTAAAGTCGATTGTTGATGTCACCACACAAACTTTGTGTGACTGGTCGTCCAATGGAATTAGGGTTAACAACAGCAAATTGTGGTCATATTTCAAGGAAAATTGTGTCTGTAGCTACTGTAGGCCCTTTTTACAGCACCCTGTGCCATAAGTACATAGATGATGAATAATCTTGGTTTGGGTTGGCAGTAAAATATACCAACTTGATTGGAAATTGAACTTTTGCCTTAATGGTTTGCTAATGCCCCAAAGGATACTTGCCCCCAAACATTGAGATTTTTCAACATAATGTTAGGCCTAGGCCCCTGCATATCTAGGGTCTGTTTAGGTATGCACGAGAGTGTTCGACCCACGAACTACGCTAGGATTTCTAGGGTACCTAATGTTTACAAATAGGATCATAAATTTCTAAGCATACAATGCAAGAACACTAAAATATGTAAATAAACACTATTTTGAACAATCATATTCCCTTTCCTTGCAATTTATTTCTCACGTTAACAGTTGGTGGTTGTTTTCGCAACCATAAAATTAATGGAATGTTTTCCATGGTTACTGTATGCCCACTGTATGTCACGTGGCTGGCTCTAAACAAACATCGCCGAATTTGTCTATTGTTTCACTTGATCACAATAATTAAACTTTCTGTAACTATACTAAGCTCATAAGGCAAAGACTTCTTTTATTTCTTGTTTCGCATACTTATTTTTTTAAAGATTATCGAAGGAGGGCGGAATAAAAATAAAAATAAAATTTTTGTTTCCTTATTTAGCAAATTATTTTGCCAAAATCATCCAGATGGAAGAGAAAATAAAAATAAAATGTTATTGGTGGATGTAAAATATGATGGTTAAATGCTTCAAATTTATATAATTAGGAAGAACATATCTTGTCTTTGGAGATTTTAAGGCAGATTAGGGCGTAATAAAAATGAAGAAAATTTTATTTTTTTCTGAAATTTCCGCTTTTTTGTGGCAACGGGTGCACTAATTGGCCAAAAATATATATATTTTTTTTTAAATCATCAATATTTGCAGTCGGTGGGTTCCCTAAACAAGGTATAAAAAAAAAGTCTCATCTAGGCTAGGTAGATATCGTTTTCATTAGAGCTTCTTTGAGTACATTTCCAGCAAGCCCTGAGCTTTTGGGGCTTTAATTTGCTAGAGAATGGACCAGTGAAAATGATTCTTTCCTTTCTCTTCTGTGTTCTTTAGTAGTTTTCTTTGTATTATTTCATGATTACCTGTATGTTTCTTATTGTTCATGTACAGCACATAAGGCAGCTTTCTCATTCTATGCGCTATAAGAATTACATGATTATTATTATTCTCATTCCATCCAGCCTGGAAAAGTGTTATAGGTGTTGCCAGCATGGACTGTGCTATACAGCGTAATTTTGAAGTCTGTCGAACATTCGATATAGAAGGATATCCTACACTGAAGGTATTTATTTGACAAATGTTTATATTCAATTCATTCCTTTCTTAATTAACTAACAATTAATTAATTGGTGAATTAATAACAGTTAACATTAAAAGTTTAGATTTTATTATTTCAACAAAAGAATGGTTCATTGAATATTTACAGTAGTTTTGCATTTAGTTATTTATTTATACTGTACAAAATTAAATATGAAACATCAGTGACAATTTCAACTCAAATTGTACTACTATTGGTGTATCCAGGCAGTTTTTTATTTCTCATTTCTCAGACTGTCAACACTAGGTATGTTGTTAGTGGTACCATGCATATTTAACATGAAAACAACTGTAAAAAGTTTTTAGTAGACTTTCTTTGAATGCATGAGAGTGCATATTTAACATAACAAAAATGTCAGTTCCATCTTATTGCTTTTTAGTAGGGTGTTAAATATGTACAAAATCAATATTATAGATTAAAACCATAAATAATCTTTTAATGCATCATCATGGGATCACTTTTGAATTTTTATGTAACTCTGCAGTAACTATGCGATGATAGTATTGGTGTGTCTTTAGTCTTCAAATGGAGTGGCTGATGGGGGCGCAAACTCAAGTGGGGGGGGGTGCCCTCAATGAATAGATGAGGTGATTTTTAACTACTTTAGTGTGATTTTTTTTTTTTTTTTGGATATTTTCAATGAGGAGGGCGACTGGGGGAACGTGAGGATTTTTTTGGGGCGCGCACCTCCCCCCCCCCTTCCAGATACACCACACACAGTAATAATACATTAATCATTGACAATGATAATCATTGAAAGCAACGATAAAAGTACAAATAACTAGAGCGAGCAGTCGATAGAGTGTGTACGTCTGCCACGCAAAACTTCTCCTTCACCTTTTGAGGTTTTGCTTCTCCACCCTGAAAATTTAATCACTTCATTCTTAGTCCAGTTTCTACCACTCTGCTAATGTTATGATGATCCATTCGTTAGTTTTTGTGCATATTGGCAAGACTTTTTTTATTCCTTTTTTATTATCGGAGGAGGGCGGAATAAAAATGAAAATAAAATTTTGTTTTCTTATTTAGCAAATAGTTTTGCTAAAATCATCCAGACGGAGGAGAAAATAAGAATAACATTTTATTGGTGAATGTAAAATAGGATGTTTAAATGCTTCAGATTTATATAATTATGAAGAAATATACATATCTTATCTTTAGAGATTTCAAGGCAGCGGAGGGCGTAATAAAAATAAAGAAAAACTTTTATTTTTTTCTGAAATTTCCACTTTTTCGTGGCGGCGGGTATGCTAATTGGCCAAAAATAAAATTTAATTTTTATTAATATTTGCAGTCAGCGGGTTCGCTAAACAAGGTATAAAAAAAGTCTCATCTATCAGAAACAAAGACAGACAAACAGTGGTGAATACACAACCAATTGTGGTGGAGTGAATATAATAATACAGTAACTCTGTAATTAATATGCACAGTAATGTCATTTGTATTAGGCCACACATCCATCATGGCTCCATTTTCCACTTGAAGTTGCTCTTAGTGTGTTTTCCATTTTATGTATTTATTTTTTTTTATTACAATATAAATAATATAATAAACTTAATATAATAAAAATACCAAATTGCATACATAGCTCCAATATCACAGTATGTTGCTCCTTATACTGCCAATTGGAAATCGCCGGACATTAACCACATTTGGCACGATACGGGTGACTTCTATCTTTACTTTAGACAGCACAAGCAAGGTGAAACTTAAAATAATAAATGTTTTTTGTAGTAACATGTTACCCTGAAGAAGGAAGCATGAGCAGTTCCAAGATACTAATCTTAAATTATCAAATAATTCACCATGTAGCATCTTCTGTTTGTGTTTGATATTTTGTGTGACTCATTTTTACAAAGCGTGTGATGCGGTCTTGGATTCAAACTATCCTTTGTTCTAAAACCGGATGGCGACAGTTGCCTTCTGCATACAGTACATCAACATTAAATTGCAATTTCTGCTTTAATCTCTCCCTGATTAATTTACCTACACGGGTATAAAGTTTTTGACAGGTTTTTATCTCCGTTTTTATAACCAGCTTTTTCAAACTCTACAATGTAATCATTCTGAAACGGAGAACAGCAAGGGCAATATACTGGTAGCGATGGTGATTGGAATTACTTGTGGCATTCATTATTATAGTAATATTATCAACAAAATCTAATAACAAGGGGAAAAAACTTGGCGTAATTGCAAATCTATCCCGTAAATTTCCTTATAAATTAAACATACACTGCACGGTAATATTGATTAATTTCTCTATTCTAGTGAAGTATTTGTAATGTTGTCACCTTTTTTTATGTTATAGATTATAACATCATGAAAAATATTGTAATTTCATTTCAGATAAAATTCTTTTATCCAAGTAAAAAAAAAATATGTATTCATTTTTTGGAAGATATTGCTGTTTTTTAGTCATGTTTTTAGCTCATAAATACCATTGAAGTGCTTACATTATTTTCAGTCAGTTATAAGCTTACAATTGGAAGATTAAAATGAGAAAATGTTTTCCCCAACAACTTTAAGTGCATATTAATAATGCTATTCTTTGAACAGATTCTTAAATTGGAGGGTAATCAAGTTAAGAATTAAGTAAGTAAACCATTTGTAAATTAATAAACTGAATTGTTTGATCTCATTGAAATTCGATTGCTTATTTGATTCTTTGAAATGAGGAATGAAATGTTTTAATCAAATGTTTGAGTATTATTTTATGAATCGGACACAGCATGATATCAAGCTATATAAAATGCAAACAATGAAAATCTTTTTTTGTGGAGAAATATTAAAATTATATACCAATTGAATTTTAGTTTTTTTTTAAAAGATCAAGTAGATTTTGAAGTAACATTGATACTCAGAACAAATCAGTTTTTACTGGTGCTTTACTACAAAAATTATTCAGTTGCTTACCTGAAAAGTTATTTTAGAAGTTTGTTAAAAAATATGCTGTACTGTAGTATGTTTGTATGTTAATTGGTCGCAAAATATTTTCCTAGTTCAAATTTACAATCAAAAGTTGAGACCTTACCTAAAATAGAAAAATCATCCAATATTTGTTTAATAAACTACCTTTTTTTAAGTTGCTTAAAAAATAAGAAAAAATTTAGGTTGAGGTAAAATATAAAATGGGGTATTTATTTTTAAAATCTAGAAAAAAAAACCAACAAATCTTACCTGTACCTTACAGTATGTGCAGTAATTGTGACTATGTAACAGTGTAATACACTCTCTAATATGTACAGTAATATACTGCTCTACAATAATAATTTTTTATCTTTGAAAAGTGGGTAAACTAAAGAACAAAATGAAATATTTTGAGCCTGAAATTGACAAAAAAAAATATGAACACTGACTCTGGACATAATTTTACTGGTTCTTATTTTTGTAATAAGCTAATAAACACAAACTACAGAATCTATTAATTCAACACTGGCAGTATAATCTTTAATTTGTAATTTGTAAGCCACAAAACCACAAGTTATTGCATAATTATACAAATTTAACACATCAGCTAATACAATGTAACTTCATCATAATAATTCTTCTCCACATTAGCTACATCTGTTGCATTGATTTTTATAATTTGATGCACTCGTAATTTGTATAGCAATGAGAATATAATTGACAATTGTTTGACTTTGGTATTTGATGTTACCCAACAGATGCATAGAATATTTATAATTTACAGTCATATTTACCAAATTCCGTATGTACAGTTCAGATCTATCTACAGTAAGATTCTGCCCACACTATCAAATTTCATGTGACAAAAAGTACGTCATACCCATATTTGGGTGTAATATGACATCATCATGCCCATATATGGGTACATCACACAAATTTGTCACATAAAATTTTGAAGTATGGGCAGAGCTTTACTTGATACCGGCAGACAAGAGTTTTATAAATCTATAACATTTTGATCTATTTTCTGTGTTCTATAAAAGCTTTAAATAACATATATGAAGCGAAAAAACTACAGTGCATTGCATTGTATGTAAGGGAAAATTATCCGAAAATTATCGTTATTAAATTTTAATAAATTATAAAACTTTTATAACTACCAGAAATTTATTAAAACATGAAACATTTATCGAAAGGTCCACTGATTAATCTCAGATAAGAAAGTATAATACATACTCCAAGTATTGAAATACACGCCATCGTGTTGGGATTCAATATTTCGACATTAATTATGTCATCATCAGGAATCTTTTTTTTTAATTTTTCAAACAGCTTTTTAATAAATTATAAAACTTTTATAACTACCAGAAATTTATTAAAACATGAAACATTTATCGAAAGGTCCACTGATTAATCTCAGATAAGAAAGTATAATACATACTCCAAGTATTGAAATACACGCCATCGTGTTGGGATTCAATATTTCGACATTAATTATGTCATCATCAGGAATCTTTTTTTTTAATTTTTCAAACAGCTTTTTAATAAATATAAAACTTTTATAACTACCAGAAATTTATTAAAACATGAAACATTTATCGAAAGGTCCACTGATTAATCTCAGATAAGAAAGTATAATACATACTCCAAGTATTGAAATACACGCCATCGTGTTGGGATTCAATATTTCGACATTAATTATGTCATCATCAGGAATCTTTTTTTTTAATTTTTCAAACAGCTTTTTAATGCATCAAGTCAAAACAACACAGGAATAATAGTAACAGGTATGGATTCTAAGCTATACTCAACAATTTAAAATGTTTTCAAAATGTAATAATTTTATAAAAACATTATTTTGTATAGTAGTTTAAAAAGCTAAAAACTACCCAATTCCTACCTACTGATTGAAAAAAATTAAAAGCCCAATGTTTTTTTGTTTCTTTTCTCTATTTCGTTATGTAAGAAACATGATAAATGTTATAAAATTTTAATTTTAATTTTCATTCTCTCAAAGTTTAAAAAAAATAAACAATTTTAATCAAAAAATATTGCTGTATTGTGCATTTATACTGTAATGATGAAATATGTTTTATTATGTTTTATTTATATGTTTTATTATCATCATTCCTGATGATGACATAATTAATGTCGAAATATTGAATCCCAACACAATGGCGTGTATTTCAATACTTGGAGTATGTATTATACTTTCTTATTTGAAACATTTATGGACTAGCAGAATTATGTAGGTTAGGCCGCAGAGTTTGCCAAGGTTATGCTGTTGAAAAGACTGGTAAGTGTTTGGGAGTGCTTCTCAATAGGCTTTATGATGATCCGCCTCTCGGTAGAAATTGCTGCCTGTTGATATCCCAGAGCTCATTATCTACCGTAGCACAGTTAATTCTAGTGGTTCTCCATCATTCTACATACGAGTGAAAGTAGTTTGCGTTTTTCTTAGGCAATCATCTTGATGACTTGCTCTATTGTCATTATTAAACAGCATGAACTCATTTTCAGAAGAGCTTTGAGCGATTTTTGTGGTAAATTAAAACCGGTGTTTATGTCAAGGATTTGAATTTGGTTAAGTGTACATGGTAGCACTGCGAGTGTGAATTCATTTCAGACTTAATTTAACATGAGACAAATTAATAAATTTAATATATTCATGAGTTTGTTACCGCTAACCTTCCTATTGTAGTTGTTGATGAATTTAAATTGGAGTATTATGCATTAATTTCTACAAAATAATTAGATTAATTTTTTTTTTTTTTTATAGTATCTTCTGATAACTATTCAGTTTATAATTCACATTTTGGCATTGTTTAACTTTTAACTCTTTTATTTGAATAAATTCATTATATTGTATGTTTTCTTGAAAGTTTGTTTTTATTCATCATCAGAATAAATTAATTAAAAGTTCCTGGGTTCAGTCTTGGTTAAAAGTCAAGTCAGAAATATAAATCCAATCACTAAACCTTATGAAGAGATTTGCCTAAGCCCTGGACACACTATTGTCATTTACCCATATATACAGTAGTCATGTCACATAATGGGCAAATCATATGTTTGTCACATACGAGTTTGCTGGTCAACAACGAGTTAACCAACATTGCCTGTTGGAGCGCCCTCACTGTAATAGGGTGCATATTTTTGTATAACATTAACTTAGCACTATTAATAGATATCCTAATACATCTTTTTTTTTAATTTTTCAAACAGCTTTTTAACGCATCAAGTCAAAACAACACAGGAATAATAGTAACAGGTATGGATTCTAAGCTATACTCAACAATTTAAAATGTTTTCAAAATGTAATAATTTTATAAAAACATTATTTTGTATAGTAGTTTAAAAAGCTAAAAACTACCCAATTCCTACTGATTGAAAAAAATTAAAAGCCCAATGTTTTTTTGTTTCTTTTCTCTATTTCGTTATGTAAGAAACATGATAAATGTTATAAAATTTTAATTTTAATTTTCATTCTCTCAAAGTTTAAAAAAAATTAACAATTTTAATCAAAAAATATTGCTGTATTGTGCATTTTTACTGTAATGATGAAATATGTTTTATTGTTCAATCCAATTTTTGTGTTACAAATGCCTACACTTTCTATTTTTGATTGATAATGTATCCCCATATAGAGTGAATTAAATTAAATTCATGTTCGAGCATGTTTGTCAACCAAGTAACATGCTATTTATTTGTCTTGTTTATTATACCATGTAACATTTGTTTTAATGATTTTTTTTTATTTTTATTTTTTATTTTTTCATGACCCAACTCTGTGTCAAACACCAAAAACAGGGTCGCCATAAAAATAAAATATGTAAAAATATAAGTCAAAATATTTAAAAAATTGTAAATTGCAAAAAAATACATTTTTACATTACATATTAAATTTACATATTTTGTACATTTATAATCATAATCGCCATTATATTAATGCCAAATTGTTTTTTTTTTTTTACAGGTGGACGTCTGTCAAAAAATCTTCGACATGCAATGATTAATCACGTCGAAAGTCATAGTGACAAAATCCGACCCAAACATTGGCCAATTCTCCGTCCAATCAGGTAGGGATTTGTGGGACACAACAGATGCTATGTTATAGTGTACTGTATCCTTTCTGTTTTTTCCTGTGAGCACTTCACCATTTTGAAGGCAAAAACACATTCTAACTAAGGCTTTTTTCTAATTACACTCTAGTAGAGTATTCTTATTAAGTATTGGAGTAACTTAGCAGTTAAAATGATTGTATACAATCCCAAGTTCTTTAGTTAAAATCATACAATACAACACTCAGTATATATATTATCTGTAATTTCTTAAGACTGGGTTGATAGGCTTTCAAGCTGAAGTGTCCATGACTATCATCAATCCTAGCCATCTTAGGTTATTTTTCAATTTGTTTGTTCTTTCTGCTGTTTATACTAGTGTGTGTGTGTGTGTTTACTACTGTGTGTGTGTGTTGTTTATACTACTGTGTAAATTGTATTGTACACTTCTTTGGCTGAATAAAGAATGAATGAATGAGTATTTGAGTATTTTTTTTGTTCTCATGAATAAAAAATAGTTTCATTCCTTATGTCTTAATTTATAGAGTGCACCTTCCATTCTGTTAATATATGTATATATATATGTATATATATATATATATATGTATGTGTATGTATATATATTTGTATGTATATATATATAAATTATATTTAGGCTGAGGGTTTTTTGTGTCTTTTAAAGAAAATATGAAGTTGTAGCATTTAAAGAATCACCAAGTGCAAAATACCTTGCTGTTATCTTTGAGGATGAAAAGTCTTACATTGGACGGGAGGTATGTGACACCTAATTGTGTACTGTAAAAGTAGTACTAGTAGTTTATACTGTGAAGTTTTTATTTATATTCTCAAATTGATATTGAATCTTATTCATATATTTATTAATAATATTAATTATTATTATTATTATTGTTATCATTCAATGTATTAATGTTCTCATAGTTATATATTTTTCAGATACTCATATAATGCCTTGGTTTAAATATAGTGTTATGACATCATTTTTCATGAACTTTCCATCAATTCCTTTATCCATTATGATGTTTCCTCTTTATTCAGGTGATACTAGACATGGTTCCGTATCCCAAGTTCAAGGTAGCAAGAGCAACAAAAAATGACACAGTATTAACCAAAGAACTGCAAGTTACAAGTTACCCTTCGTTGTTTGTCTTTTATCCCGATGGACAAGTGCACGAACTAAAGAGGTTGGATATTCTTGTTTCTATTCATATAGCTCAATTAAACACAGTCCAGACTATCAAATCACTTGACAAAAAACTGTCGTATGCCCATATATAGTCATGATGTGCCTATGTATGGCCATATATGATGTCACCATGACTATATTTAGGCATATCACAAGTTTGTTAGTCTGGACAGGGCCTTTGGAAGCATGTAGATACATTTCAAATATTTGTTACCTAAACCACAGATTCTAAAGCATTTTTAAGTAGCAGTTTCATTGTTCATGTTTACAGGTTTTTCCGTGTGTTGGGTTTCAGAAACGATGATAAAATTTTAATTAATAATCTATTCTTATAAATCTTATATAATACCGGCATCCCTCCAATTAAAGACCACTTTTGGGACAAGGGTTTCCAGCAGCTTTGGTCTCTAATGAGAATAATAATAGAAGACATTTATTAATTTGGGACCACAGAAAAGTGGTCTTTAACAACGGTGGCGCCAGAAATTTGCTGACAATTGGTCCAAAATGTCGGAATGAGATGGTCAACTAGAACCTTGGTCAACGACCCGGAATAAAAAAATCCCAGGTAGTCTTCACAGGGATAGTTTTTTTGGCTTAGTATGGCCAAATTGTGCTTTTAGACCACAAGGTTAGGAATTAGCAATCAAAATAACATTGTTTGAATAGGCTAATTATTATTTTTTTAATTTTTGTTCCAATAACCTAGTCGTGGCATCGGAAGACAGGGGTCAAGACCTGTCCAACGGAAGGTCAAATCTCCCCCCCCCCCCATGCTGGCACCACTACTGGTTTTAATTGAAGGTGGTCTTTAATTGGAGGGATACAGTAGTTTAAACCACCTCAGGCTCACCAGGGTTGGTTGTCTATATATCAATCATTTTATAATTGAATGGAGACCATAATTATGTTAATTGCCATTCATTATGCCTGTTCACTGTTAATCGATTATATGCTTTCAATGAGTATCATATTTGTATTGAGGGAGAATAGTTAATGACGTTGATGTTAATTTAATTTAATTTATTCTTTGGAGACACAATACAGTATACTTTACATAAAATAACGATTTAAAAAAGAGGGATATGGAGAAGCAAAAGCAGTAGAGACCACTGTCATCTTGATTGTCTGCTCATGCATCTCTAATGATATTTCTGAAATATTCCAGAATTTTATTAGTACTGTATATCAATGACCGACCCCTTATACAGAATCCTCCAACACTCCATAACTTAAAAATGGTACCTATTCTCATTTCCGCTAGCAAAATTGTACACCATACCTTTCCAATCCTTCTTTCCTTTTTTATATATTTTTCTCTCATTGTCTGCATTTTGCATCTTTATAAAGGTGCTTTGTATTTGTTTATTATTAGAAGCAATTAGTATAGTCATATTCCATACACTTGTTGAAAATCAGTGAACATAAGAGTGGTTAGTGCAAAATTGCATTCATGCAATTTTCAAATGAATGCACTAAAAGGCTCTCAAGTCTACTAATAGTGTGAAAATTATATGGAATATATCTATACTAATAGTGTTAATAACATCATGTACTGTATTAATATATTTTATCATTAGTGTATTATTATTATTATTATTGTTATTTTTGTTATAATTCATTATTCATTATCAGCATAATCATCATCAATATTATTATTATTATTATTATTATTAGTATGCCAGATCCAACTAGAGAGACATTTAGGAGCCTGTTGTTGGACCTACTTGGCTTGACAGATTCACAAGATCCTCCGAAAGAGACAATAATGGAGAAGTCCAAACCTTCACAGGAGGACAGAAGAGACTTGGAAACCAATGAAGTCATCCAGATGGAACACGTTGATGCCATTTCAGAGGCAGACAATGAAGTGGTTAAGTTCCTAAAATTAGACAATATGCCAGGTATTGAAAGACAACAGGTTCCCAATGTAAATCACAATAATGGTGAAGGTATGTAGAATGAAAGGTAAATAAAATATTATTAAAAAAATTCTGTAGATAAAACGAGGGTGCACAATATGAAGCCTTAATGGGTAAGAGCCAACTAGAGAGCTAGCAGTTCAGAACCCTTAAACATGCTGAAGCTTTTTGCAAAACTATACAAAAATAAAGAAATAAAGAAATATTTCTCCTTAACAAAGCATCATTAAAAATGTTACAATGTTGTCATAACTGGCACACTTATTCATCTTATACAAAACTATTCTCTAAGTACAATATCATTTTCATAATTTATCTCTTGAATCTTAAAATTATAACACCTTATTATTGTTTCCTCAGAAATTAGCTAAGCCACCTCCAAATATAGAAATAAATCCAAAATAAAACTGAATTTAAAGTTATATACAATTTTATTTGTTATTGGATTTTACATTTTTTTTTTTCCATTAGAAATTTATTTAGGAATTGCAACTCTGTTTTTTACATATAGTATTGAAAGTTTTCTTACATTTTACGGTAGTTGTAGAAGAACCTGTGAACGCTGGCAATGAGGGCGCTGTTGTGGAAACTAAGGATATGTGGGATATTGTCAAGAAGAAGAAGTATGAGGCTGAAGCTGGACAGCAACAGCAATTTAGGAATATTGATGCATAGTAAGTACAATTGCTCAAATTACTTTTCAAGATATAATATTTTAGTAAAGAGAAAACTCCGAACCGTCTTGTGGCAATAGAGACATGACCTATGTAAATATGTTGACCAATCAGAAAATGTTGACATGTTTAGAGTATGCTCCAATAATTATTTGTCAGAAAACACATGGCCACCTCTCTAAATGCACATTGGCCAGTTGTCTGAAAACACTTGGTCACCTCTCTAAAAGCACATTGGCTAGTTGTCTGAAAACACTTGGTCACCTCTCTAAAAGCACATTGGCTAGTTGTCTGAAAACACTTGGTCACCTCTCTAAAAGCACATTGGCTAGTTGTCTGAAAACACTTGGCCACCTGTCTAAAAACACATTGGCCAGTTGTCTGAAAACACTAGGTCACCTGTCTAAAAACACATTGGCCAGTTGTCTGAAAACACTTGGTCACCTGTCTAAAACATATTGGCCAGTTGTCAGAAAACACTTGGCCACCTGTCTAAAACACATTAGCCAGTTGTCAGAAAACACATGGCCACCTCTCTATAAGCACATTGGCCAGTTGTCTGAAAACACTTGGTCACCTGTCTAAAAACACTTTGGCCAGTTGTCTGAAAACACTTGACCGCCTGTCTAAAACACATTGGCCAGTTGTCTGAAAACACTTGGCCACCCATCTAAAAATACTTGGCTACCAGTCTAAAAGCATATTAGCCAGTTGTCTGAAAACATTTTTCCACCTGTCTAAAACAAATTTGCCAGTTTTCTGAAAACAATTGGCCACCTGTCTAAAAACACTTGGCGACTAATCTAAAAGCACATTGGCCAGTTGTTTGAAACACTTGTCCACCTGTCTAAAAACACATAGGTCACCTGTGTAAAGAAAAATTAAACACATTGGTTATCTGTATGGTTCTTGTATAATATTGTGGTTTAAAATTAGGCAACATTGTTGGTACCACATTATTCGTTTCAGTTCCCCTGTTCACATGCAAGATCTTGAGTCAGCGCTGACATATGCCTTGCGACAGGAAGTACCGTTAAAAGTAACAATTGGAGGATCAGCATTGGAGGCTCTCCGCAACTTTGTTAATGTGTTAAACAAGGTAAATTTTAATACTAGCAGCGGTGGATCAAAATATGTCAATTTCTAATAATAAAATAAAATAGATTCCTGAACAGTGACCAGGCAGTCTTTGGCCCCTGTTTTTGTTTAATTGTTACATTTTAATACATAAAGTTGAACATTTGTATATATAGCTACAATATAGTAGTTTATTGAAATCTGGAAAAAAACAACTTTTAATTTATTTGTAACTACTCCTTTTCGTCAGTGGCACACTTTTCAATGAAGGTGCATCTGTTTGTGAATAATAATTGTTATTGTTCAGTTATTTCTATAAATAAAATATTATACTTTTAAATTACATCAGTTTTGTAGTTGACGGACTCACTCTGGACCTGTATGTTTGCCTGACAGATATTTCTAATCGCTTTGTGTGTACTTAAATATCTTTGGTATTTCCAAATTCTTGCTGTGATAGCTTCTACTGAATGTATTTTTGCTTTCTGTAGAGTTTACAAATCACCTTTTTTTTAATGTAGGTTTTAATCCTTTTTTGGCATTTGCTCAAATTTTAAATCAATATCTTTATTTATAAAAAAAATGGCAATTTAATTAATGTAAACATGTTGATTTTGTTTTTACTTAGTATTTTCCTGGTAGAAGCCAGGTTAGCATGTTCCTGGAGAGTCTGGAGTTCTGGTTGGAGGATCTGAAAGGACCATCAATCACATCTGATGAGTGGCTTGATTTTGTCAATGAAAACTATGACCCAGAGAAGGTGCAATGATTTATTTGCATTATTATTTTTGTTTATGTTATTTTTTGAATATTAAATTAATAATATTATTTAAAAATAATATTTTTTTTAAATAATGTCATTAGTTTTTTTAATTATTAATACTTAATACATGTCTTGATCTTTTATAGTCTTCAACTGCTGTATTACCTCACAGTGTGAAGTGGGAAGGCTGCCAAGGCAGTTCTCCTCGTTATCGAGGCTATCCATGTAGCATTTGGACATTGTTCCATACACTTACTGTCAGTGCTGCTAAGATAAATAAACAAAGTAAGTCAACCAATTACTCAATTCCTTAATCACTAAATAATTTAATTTTCTTATAAATCATTGATCAATGAATCATATTCCACCAATTCATCATATTCCATCAATAAACAAATTGTCAATCTGTTATCAAATTATCAATTAAATTATTAACCAGTCAATCCTCAATTAATTTTTGAAGTGGTGTAGTCGGCTAAACTGGTAGTAGCCACTGTGTGTGTGCTATACCGTGGATATCTCTTATTCCCCGGCTCAATTCCCATCACTGCTCTCCTTGATTTTCAGCTGGAGGGCTGAAATGCATGTTACTGTAGCACACAAATGATGCAGTGCACTCTTCAGAAAAGAGTAGGGGATTTTCTCTTGGTGTACTGCCCAGTTTACCAACAGAAGGACGCTACTGGAAATAAGTCTTACGACTTTTGTGGGTTTTCCTTTGTGGGTATCACACTGAAGAAATCAAATCCAATCAGTCAATCTTTCCAACAATTATAGCTGCTTCAGGAGGCTGAAATGCAATTTTCAATTGCACTCCATCTTTTAAGCCACTGGTCCTGTGTGCAATAATGGTCCATGTGCATAGAGTAGGGGATTGTCTCCCAGTGCACTGCCCAATTTACCACCAGAAACACCTCATTAGAAATATTTTTTGGACTTTCGTTTGTCATCCTTTAAGTGATTCAATCCAACCATCCTTCAATCATGCAATCCAATAATCAGATAGCCTATTTGCTATTCCTGGGCAAGATTTTCCAAGTTAAATTTACCTCATAGATTGGCCAAGATAAATCATATGGATGATGTACACACTAGATACAGTATATGTATTTATTCAAACAGACCAGGTACATGGTGTGAGCAGTGGCGTAACACCTATGCACTCTCGTGCGCGGTCTGCAGGTCCCGACACCGAGGGGCCCCAAAGGGCCCCTTCCATAGGGTTCTCGATCTAGTACCCTGACACAAAAGGGCTTTGTTGATACAGGACAACATAATACCGTGAAACCTCGAATTGAATCCCTGGGCTTCTTTTTTCTGCAAACTTTTGATGGGCTTCTTTTCAAGATGGGCTTATTTTCGAGAGTACTTTTGCAAAGTAAAGAGGGGGCTTCTTTTCAAAATGAGTGCTGTAAATTTTGTGAATTTTTACTATAAAACAATAAATACGACCACTGCAACATCAGTCTGTATCATGGAGTGTGTTTAACCAACATGAAATCACCTAAACTACTGTATAAACCAAGCTTGTTTTCAATTTTTTTGTTTTTTGAAATTCATGTGTAGAATTGGAAAGTGCCCAAAATAGCCTTAGTCTCAGTCCCATCGTTGTGCCACTGGGTATGAGTACTATTTGATTTCAAAGTCCTAAATACTTATTGTATTTTTTTTTTTTCAGATCCAAATCGTAACTCACAAGAAGTGCTATTAGCTATGCAAGGCTACATACAGGTGTTTTTTGGATGTACGGAATGCGTTAAGAACTTTGCTAAAGAATCAAAGTCGATGTCATCTTCTGTAAAGTCGTACGACGATGCCATCCTCTGGCTTTGGAAGACCCACAACAGAGTCAATGAAAGGCTTAAAGGAGACATTTCTGAGGATCCAGCCCATCCCAAAATACAGTTCCCACCAACACAGCTATGCTCAGCTTGTCGCCTTGGAAAGGGACACGAAAATGAATGGGTTAACTCAGAAGTCCTTGTGTTTCTCAAAGAGTATTACGGAGTGAGGAATATTGTTTTTGACCAGTTAAATATTAAACGGCAAATCTCTAATTTGAAAGAAAAAGAGCAATTGCCACCAGAAAGATTTTTTAACATTGATAATATAAAACTGAAACACGAAGCGATGAAAAGACAATTGGAAAAACAATTAGAAGTTCGTCTCGCTGAGGAACGACTAAAACAGAATCCTGGTTATGACTTTCGTATTACTGATATGGATCTTAGTATGTGTGTATTTATGTATGCTGTTTGTATTTCTTTATGTTTATTTGTATATCTAGTGGTTTGTCGCAGGAGAAGGAAGAAAATGATAAAGCAGAAAGTTTAATACATATTTTTAGGATACATTTTTAATGTTTAAAGTTTTTTTAATATTATTAAGATATGATGTAATTCAAATATCATTAACTTATATACATTCCATTTCAAACAACAAAGTAGCATTTAAGTTTTTAGATTATATTCAAAATATTATACACTATCATTTCAATACATTAGTTTTTAGTGAGAATTGCCAGTACTCAATAATTAATGATCAGTATTGTTTTATTCCTTCTTAAAACAAAAAATGATTGATGCTCATATTCGATATTAAGTAATTTTGATTGTTTTTATTTAATTATTAATTTTTGGTTTCTTTAATATTATCATAACAGTAAGCTCAAATTGATATACCTTGATGTTAGATGTGCCTGATAGCATACCATTTCACACCAGGTTGATGACTATACACCAGTGAGAAATAATGAACACATATAATGTGGTAGACACTGTATAGCGGATACTGATTCTGCTGGAACCCCTATTGTGATGGAAATTCAGCGCACGAATTTCACGTCGGCTTGTTTCAAAACTGCTTGGAAAGTCAAAAACTTCGACTGAAACAGGCTATAGCAGACACTAAATTTCATGTACGTCGTCAAACCAAGGAAATTGGTGGTTCATAAAACAGATTTGTTTGTACAATAACTAATAGGCAAACACGATTTGTGTACAATCGTCTTGTCTTTCTCGCCTAGTCGTTTCGTAGGCTAGGCCTAGGTAGGAATGACGCTAGCCAAGGCCTACAGCATCGCCCAATTGAACCCACGTGGGCCGCGTAAATCGTAATGCTTATCAAAATCTATTATTTGTCTTCATTTTACAGTATTATTATGTTTAAAATGTTGTTTATTATCTAAAAACAACAAAATACAACATATTGTAGGCCTAATCCTACCGCCCGTTTAAACGCAATCACGATCGCATCATGACTTTACTACAAAGAGATACTGTACATGTGTGGAAAATCCCTGATAGATCATTCTGGGCATGCGCATGGATATGCATGGGCAGTATTGAAGAAAGTGATATTTCCCATGCCAAAGATAACGATAAAATGTACGCTAAAACGAAATTTATTCGGCGATTTTCTTATGTAAAACATATGTATTATACTACATTATTAAATTAATACAAGTACGACCATTCTTTCACCAGCAATATATTGATTTAATAGAGAAATTAACAAAATCACAATCTGTAGAGGACGATGTAAGGTCGAGCGTTCGGAAAAATCGTAGTTTACTATATAGGCCTAGGTAGTAAAAATTGCCGAGGCTGCCGACCTCGGAGAATTTAGGTCGGCAAATTTTTGCCGACCTAATTTTTTCCAAATTTTATGGGCTGGAAATTTGTGGGGTAGAATATTTAGTGTAGTGATCCCAGTTATGCTAAAGACTTAAGCTTGTGGTGGATCTACGCACGGTGGACAAATAGGCGTGCGGTGGGGCTATAGTAGACACTGTACAGTAGGCCTAACTTAGAGTTATCAGTCTCTGCATGAAGGTATGAAATTTTAGTATGCCCATGGGTAGACAGGCATTTACTGAGGTTTCACAGCGGTGACCAGTAGGGTCTGGGGTAAGCCCTGGTGAGGGGTTTAGGGCTCCAGACACTTAAACAGTGCAATTTTTGGTACATTTTAGAATGTAATATGCCCATACATTTTTAAAGAATTCATTTTCTTGATCTGACAAGCTGTGACCTACAGAGGACTTGGCCTGTCTGGTAGAGATATATCGCTTTTCCATAGCTGGCCAGTGTTAATAACATAACAAGCATTCTGATTCTTTAATAATAATAAAATAATAATAAATGACTTCATCCTTATCATGTTTTCTAGTGTATTTTTAATTTTAGAATATATATATTTCTATAGCATTCTAGAAGAAAAATATTAATTTACCATGGTAAAAAACAATTTGTGATTTTTATTTTATTTTAATTGAGTATTATTTTATCTTTGTATTTTTGTCCTGTCAGTAATGTCTCAGCAATATCCTGTATTGAGTGTTTCAAATGATATTGTAACCCTTATACATTCTTGATAACATGCAATTTTAGAAATAATTATGTATACACTAGCAACAATGTCTGTGAAAAAATAAAGATTTTAAGCGAAAGATAACAATAGTCATAATTACAACTAATTAGAATTAGGCCTACAAAACTTTGTAATTATATACTGGTTTAGTGATTATGAAATTAAACCACTATAAAAACAACTGTAATTGTTCATTTATGAAATCACTTTGTATAATAGTTTAGAATTAAGAGAATATAAATATAAGCTAAAATCTAAAGACTAAAATTCAAAATGGAATTGCGTACATTGTATATTTAAGTATGAGGTATTTCTTTCACTAGTAAATTATAATGATCAAATATTTTCTTCACAAATTTATAAATGCATAAATCATAAAATTCATACGTTCTTTGCATAACTTCTTTTTCATTATATATAGCAAAGGCTGATTGTTTCAGTTCAGTAGGATCTCAAACTATGGGTCTCAACCCAAAATTTGGTCATTAAGTAACAGGGATAGAGGGTTGCAAGACAATTATTTAGCTTTTTCAAATCATTCAAAATATGCTGTAAAAGAGAGCGCATATAAACATTTTACTTCAATTTTGCTTATCCAAAAAAAATTACCTATTTTGAGCATCTGTTTTTTTAACGTCCTGGGAAGTAGGTCGGAGACAAATTGCCTTGAGGTCTGTTTGGGTCGTCAGCCAAATAGTTACGAGAACCGTTGTTTAAAAATGAGCATGAATTTTACTGGAGTTTAGCTTTTAACACGCAGAAGTGTATCATCTTTATTTTAGTATGCGTACACCCTTAGAAAACTTTTCTTCGAAAAATTATACAAGACTTAAATAGGCTTGCAACTTAACTAAGCTTGTCTATTAAAATTCAAGTATAGAAACCTGCCAAAAACCTTTCTTGCCTGTGATGCAAATGCTTATCTATTTAAACTAAATTTTTGCTATACAATAATATGCTTTCACAACAAATACCGGAGCCTGACAAGAACTTTTCTCAGTTTGTTTTTAATTTTCATTTAATATGCAAAGCCGACCAGATATTTTAATTGTGTTATTGTAGATTTTATATTTTTTGCTTTGAATTTAGTGTACTTATTTGCATTTAAAATGCAATTATTGTCTCTGTGTAGACATTGCAATTAATATCTACTTAATTAATGCAAATGTATGTATTTTAATTATTAAAAATTCATCAAACTCATGAATATTTCCTAGGATATCAATCAGTGCATTGGATGTGCAATGGTAGAAATAAATTGGCCTATTACGGGGTTGTTACTAAGTGACGTATGTGGGCGTGTACTAATAGAGAGTTTTCTCAAGCTTACAATAACGAATACGGTTACGTCATCACATTTTTAGACAGCCTTTGGCCTAGAGTAGTATATCTGTCACAACGTAGACGATTCATGCCTTTAGCTCGTACAGCCTGTTGTAAAGAATGTTTTAGATATGAATAACGATAATGACGTATTCGTTTTCGTAAGGCTGCGAAATCTCCCTATTGATGGTGGTGGCATAGGCCTACTACAGTATAAAAAGCATATTCAATATTAGTTAAATAGCAACATATGTCAGGATAGATGAGGTAAATGTTGTAGTTGTTGTTGGGGTAATGGTTAAATTTGAATAATGAGAGATGAAGGACAGGGCTGCAAGTTTCGAAGTATATATTTACACCGAATCCGAATTATCGGATCGGAAAGCATACCGAACCGATCAGAAAATCGAATCAGTAAGTAAAAGAGTAACGGTTTCGTCATCGCACTGGAGACCGCTCCGAATCTCGGTTAGGATCCATCGTGATCGTAGCTTTATTGTCACCAAACTGTATGTGTGTCTTCCTTTAGCTTTTTTTGTATTTCTTCCAAATTTTTGGGCTGATGGATTGCTGGGAATCAAATCCCAGGCAATATTCTCCCTTTGGTGGTGAGGTGTTGGTGCTATTGTGGTGGTACAGTATGTTATTTAAAAAAATAACCAAGTATGTTTGGGTCTGTGCTTAGAGGTGCATGATGTCTAAGGCTGCCTTTTTATGTGCGATTTCCTCCTCTGTTGTGTTTTTCCCCTGTTTTTTATTAAAATATATTTTTATTATCCGCTGTAAACAATGTCTGTCTCTTATACACATCTAGATGTGTATAAGAGACAGCTTTTTTTACAGTAATTAGAATATATGTTTTCCACGTAACATACCGGTAAGTATTTAAATTGTGTTATGATTTAGTACATAAAAACAACATAAACAGGCATATACATTATAATAAAAACTTCTCTAACGTACACATTTTATCACAAATTAATTATTGTAATTCCTTTATTGTGGTTTAAAGAAATCAGTTTTCTCTAAAAATGAACATCTTTGGTAAGCTACACCTAAACATACTACATACAAATATATTATTTAAATTGCTTAATTTGCATTACATAAGTATTTAAATTGTTTTATACATAAAAACTATTGACAGAACAAATCATTAGCTTTCACTTTGAACATTTGGTTTAACTTGTTATTGAAAATATAATCATATCCTGTCTATTATTTTGCACAGAATTATTACCTTGTAATCAATTTAAGAATTTTGATAACGAATACGTTTACGTAATCAAATGTTTAGACAACCTTTCCCTAACAGTAGCATATCTGTTACAACATAAGCGATTCATGCCTCTTGCATGAAGCAAGGATCATATGCAGCTCGCACAGCCTAATGTCAAGGATGTTTCAGGCACGAATGACATAATGATAATGCAGGCCCGTATCCAGGGGGTTTATGGTTCAGGAGAAACCCCCTTTTCTAGCAAACCCCCCTTTTTTCTGGGGAAACCCCCTCTTTAAGTTTTTCAAATAAGTCCCCAAACCCCAACTAATGCACTGCAGACCCACCCAGACACAGACATTTTCAAACATATCTGCTTTTATAGCATTATTTAGACCCATAAAGGGGCCCGGTGTCCTCTCCCGGAGAATTAACATTTTCTGAATTCAAGGAAATGTACTTTATTGCATTGTGAAACGCCTATTTATAAATCAATATCCTAAAAAATCTATGGTTTTTTGTTTTATGAAGATAATGATGAGGAGCAGAATGATGATCATGAATTTAGCTTTATATTATAGCAAATAATTCGGTCGAATCTACGGGGCCCTTAAACCTTACACATAACGCTTCAACAATTTTTTTATATATTGAAATATATCTAGTTATTTTATCAGTGTTTTCCCCCTTTTATTTGAAAATAGTTGTGCCGTCACAAACTAAAATAACAAAAAGGTCAATTTAGTAAATTTAAAAGTACAGAGGTTAAATTAACATTGACGTTATATATCGAACAATTAAAAGTTCTCCAAACATTTTTTTCAAAGCTGGTAAAGCGAACGATAAAGTAAACACTATTTTTTCAGGCTTGTATACACTTGATTGACCGTAATGAGTATGACCATGAAGGCAGAGCCATGCTATGAAAAAAAATAATCGGTTGAAGTCAACAGATAGGGCCGCCCTAGCCCATTAATGGAGATAAAAGATTACTGTAATATATTTAACGATTTTTCTTAAGTCTACGTGAAAAAAAGTACAGACACGCACATTACCGTATATTATACATATAATGAATGTTTATAAGTGCTGGGAAGAATATTTTCATGTGTTGAAAAATTGACTTTTCAGTTCACGGAGGCAGAGTTGAGTTGAATGGAAAAGTCAATCTTACAATTCATGAAACTGTTCTTCCCATTGCACGAACACAAAACATCCATTACCGTACTTAATGTTTAATGCAGACTAGTTTTTCCTGCTGACTCCCCTGCTGCTGAAGTATTCTCTGATAATTATGAATATGAGGATGATGACGATGATGTTGAGGTATCGGGGTTTTGAATCTCTCACCGTGCATTAATTTTTAAAAATCTAATGAAATGTGAAATCTAAAAAAAATATATGCAAATTCGATTATCAAATGCAAAGGTAAACGGATGTAGAACAATATTCAATCTTTAATCAGTTATTATCACACAAAGTAGCATTAGTTTTGTGTAAATAAATGTTTACATACATCTTCAGTTAGTATTTGTTTTAAAGATAATTCCACTTTCTTTGAATTTCTATAATAATCTAACTACATAGGCCAAAGTACGGTACCCAATAACGACAAGTTCACTCTCCATTAAATACGTTTTATAAGAATATAAATCTATAGGACTAGCGCACGGCTCGTAACATGTCGACAGAAGAACATCTTTACGCCACAATGAGATTGGTTTCCACGTATTTCAAATACTAGACCTATTATTACTTAATAACGGGATCCCCATGAGCAATACCAATCAGCTTTAAATGAGTCGTGGAATTAATTGTACAAATCTTAACGATATATTCTGTCTATTTTGAGATGCAATACAAAATGCAATAGGCCTATTTGAATTACATGCATTGCACCTATATATTATTGACTTCATTTAAACAAGAAAACATAGGCCTATTTTTTGGCAATTAACAGGCGCATACAACTTTTTCGCATAAACCCTTTGAATTGACTGGTTAAAACAATCTAAATTTACTTGATTCGAACTGAATCTCTTGGAAGTTATAACTTAGATTTTCGGACTTTTAAATGACCAATTCAATATTGTTAACACTTTAGGCGACAATATTATTCTGATTAAACCATGACAGATTATCCTAGGCCTGTTATTACTAATATTAACAATAACATTTATTATATTATTATTGGAATATTGTATTAGCCTTTTCACACATAGCCTCAGTTATTGTGTAGTTTTCCACCAATCAGCAGCAAGTCTCACTATCCAACATGTATTTCCCTGTTTGGATTCACTGCAGATTCTCTTGAAGACGATTGGAACAACTCAATCAAAACGTTAAGACGTTATCAACGAAACGACAATTTTTTCAGACTATCTACGTGATGCACTGCAAGCATTAATATATAATATTGTTATTATTGGTGTTTTTGTTGTTTTTGTTATTATTAAGCCTATTATTGTTATAATTTAAAAAATTATTAATATATTTATCATTGATATATTTCTATTATTCTTAGTACTGTATTATAATTATTATTATTATTATTATTATTATTATTATTATTATATTATAATTATTGTTGTTATAGTCATTTTTTATTATTACTATTTGTATAGGCCTATTATTGTTATAATTTAAACAAATTTTTAATATTTTTATCATTGATATATTTCTATTATTTTTAGTACTGTAATATAATTATTTTTTGTTGTTGTTATAATTATTTTTTATTATTAATATTGGAATTGTTCTTAAACAGTTGATCAATTAATCAGTTGGTACAGCCCACATACAAATTATGTAGAATTATAGGCCTAGGTCAATTTTACCTTTCACCTTTGATATTATACTGTGGCTAGGGAACGAAAGTAAAACAAATCACAAGAACAATTATTTTATTATGTTGATTTTGAACCAAGACCACGACGATGTTTGATGTATGGCTAGCCTTCTAGTCTATATAAGATAACAAGAATAATGAACACTTACGGGCTAATTGAGGCATATTAATTGCTTTCGTGTATACAGAAATGTACGGTACTAATTTACACGGGGGTTTTTGTTTGCATAAATATAACTCTGAAGTGCTACATTTGCTGTATAGAACTTCCTGTTTATGTAAACAATGTTGAATAAACTTAAAATTGCTCATCTTGAAGTTTCATTTCGATTCATTTATTTCTCTCATAATGTACAAAACTTATAAAAACGATAAAATAGTAACACATGAACCATAAATTACAGTTTTAACAATCGTACATAAACGAATCAAACCAGCATATCATTAATACTATTATTATTATTATTATTATTATTATTATTCTTTATTAAAAACAATGTATAAAATCGCATAAACATGCAGTATTATGTTGATACAACTATATAACATTTCTATACAATATATATTATTTGTATACTCTAGTTATCTCATGTAGGTGGGATGTTGGCCCAGACTACTGTAGCCTGATGTGTGGTTTTATGTGACGCCAATAAGCCCTCGTAGTTCTTAAAGCCCATGTCTTTGTCAAAGATCAACGCATATAAACAAATTATCAGTTTATCATCTATCATTAATAAAGTTTTATAGTTATTACTTATGGAATATCTTTTCGGTTTGTACAGTAAACTAGCCAGAAACTGAAAACGATTTTAAAGTTACTAAGAAACCAACTAAAACTGTATAAACAAAAAACGAAGATA